GAGGTTTCCACACCCTTATAAAGAATGCTTCGTTTCCCTTTTCAACCGATGTTGGATCTCACCGATACAACTTTTTCTAAGGAAGAACATTAGTGATGTCAAACATGTTACAAGAATCGATGTATATTTGTTGGAATTGTCTTTAATTTCAAAAGAAGTAAAGACGTTGCATGACATGCTTAGGTCGTAGGAGATAGTGAACGTTTGGACACGGTGCTGAATCTAGAATTGGCTGGGTTGGTGAACCGAGCAACCCGAATAGAATTTACAACCCAACCTAATACAACCCTTTATTTTCGGGTTGGATTGTCAGGTTTTTTTTCTTTCTTTTTTAATTATTTAAAAAAAATCATATTTACTCACCATACATATTACATTAGCAACAAAAAAAAACTCATGAAGCCCAAATATCAAACATTCACAAGATACAACATATCATTAACATCAGTTACAGACGTCAAATATTCTTGATCTTCGTAATAATCTTAAAAGTAGGGTTGTGTTGGGTTGTAACTCTGTTTTTGGGTGGGTCGGGTTGACCCAACCAAAAAAATGTCAACCCGCGAACCGAGTCAAATTTTTGGCTTTCCAAAAATTCAACCCAACCCAACCTTTATGGTTTAGTTGGATAGTCGAGGTTGGTTGGGTTATCGGGTCATATGAATACCTCTAATTCCCTGTTCAACTTTTCTTGCTTCTGTTCTCGCTATTTTTCCTTTTCGAAACCGTACTTAGTCCATGACATGTTGACATTTTCTCACTCCATGATTCCCACTTCATATATTTGTATATATGATGTCGATGAAGGTGTTGGAGGTGTTCTAGGACTCGTGTCACTTGTTGTTCGTTGCTCGATCACTTATTCGTTGATTTCTTATGCATTTCAGTAGAAAGATTGTTGTGGCATTTGATAAACTTTTGAAACTTTCTGTGAATATCTGCCTAAACTTTTCTTTTATATGCTTTCATCATTGATGAGATATACTAAAATCTTCCTTTGATTGCAGCAGCCATTAACCAGTGCATTTCTCGAGAGCGGAAACTCGTCCGAAACTACTCTTGTAGGTCAAGCAACATAGAGCAAGAGAAAAAACGAACGCGATTTGGAACTAAATCATTACAACAAGAAAAATAACACGAGTTGCGATACGATTTAGTTTAGATCTTACCGTTACTTTGAGTGTAGAGATACGATTTAGTTTAGATCCGTTGAGTTTGGAGATATGATGTAATCGATGTAGAGATATTAGGTAACTTTTTTATGTAACATAAGTTCTTGGGTAAGAAGAAGAGCATCATTTTTCCTTTGAAACTACAGGATTTTGTAATAATTTGTTGAGCTCAAATATCTATGAATGATGTTTGAAATATCAAGGAAATAATTTGTGAATGAAAAATTCACCATTTATTGATAAGATTGAAATTTTGGTGTCGTTATTGATATCGATACTTGCACCCAAGTCACCCGCTAGCAAATTGACGTCTTTGAATCTGTCAAGTCTAGTTTAACTGCACCGATCATGTCAGCCTAAAAGTTGACCCCTCCTTGATTATATTTTTTTTATCAAATTGATGATCAATTTTCCTAAAATTCTCAATTGTTCCAAAAACTAGCCGTTACGGAAGCTCTCAAAGAAAATTTGGAGAAATCGAGTGCTGAAGGCTCAAGAAACGAGACCCTGAACACAACAAGAGATAAGGAGCTAACTTGGACTTTTCCGAAAAAAAATATTTTTAAGAATCACTTGGATTTCAATATGAGTCTTAAGTTAAGTATGATATAAGGAATCGTGAAAGAAAAGTATTAAAAACCATGAGTTAAGGATTCGAACCAAGCATTTTGCTCGAGAATCAAGTACCGTCAAAATAATCCACTAAATGGACTCTTTTGCCTATAAAATTTTAAATCTGAGCATAATATGATAAATTAAAGATATATCTAAATTTTTTTGGTCATTGAATAAGGCTAACTAGCTAAACCAGAAGATGGTGTAAAATTACCATAATGTCCCTATACTATGCTGCCTATTGTACACGACCTTAATGACCTCGGTACAATTTAAAACTTCATACCCGACCTTAAATCATGACTATCAACATACTAGTGAATTTTCATGACCGTTGGACCACGTTCGGGGGCTTGAACCATGGTTTAAGTAGAAAAATCATTGTCTTCCTCCTAGAAATGCTTAAGGGTACCTTAAGCTATACGTATATCGGGGTATGACATGAATTTCAAGTGAACTTAGGGTTATTAATAACTATGCACCGACAGCATATCCTAGGAGCTAGGTACTATGTCCTAAAGTGACCCGTATCTCCTACCACGCAGTGTGTTATGAGACCCTAATTCTTCTTCTAGGTGGAATGCACCTACACCATGTTTCATGACTAGGACGTCATGATGACCCTCCTATTTTCCCACACCTAGACGAGATGTCCTACATCAGGTATTATTAGCGGGATGTCATGATCAAGTTGCACCATCTATGCGACCATGTCGGTCTTTCATGATGAGTGATTTAAAGGCTACTTTAGGGGAAGTTTTCCGGTTGACCATATGATATGGACCAAGAGAAGTTTTATATTAAGTCCTTGGATACTCAATAAGTTATAGTACCTTAGCTCAAGGATGCAATTAAGAGCGTATAAGTAGGCTACTTACTAAGTTTTTGTACTCACTCCATGTTTTCTATGTTTTTCAGGTTATTATGAGCTAGTCGGGGATGAGAGTAGACTTTGGAGCATAACCATAAATCAACCACTCGTCCTCAAATTTATTCTATTTTGAAATATTTTTGAGTTCGTTTCTTATTTTGTGTTTAAAACTATGTTTGTATGAATAATATACATATATGTATGAACTTATGTGTTAAATACATCGTTTTTATTTCACAAAAAAAAAAAAAAAATTATTGTGTTTTCTATGAGTCATGAATCGTGCTTTGAAGACCTCGAAAATTAGGTCCTGACAATAATTCTCATGGTCAAGCAGTAAACACTTGTAACTCCTAGGTATGCCCTTGTAAAAAGAAAGTCTATGTGTTAGTAGTTCCATTAAAGTGATACAGGACTCGTTAAATGTAATGTGCTCTTTTTGTTTGATTGATATTAAGGTGCGATAGATTTAATCTACTTTTTCAATGACACTCAATTATATAGCCACATAAAAGGGGATAATGCGCTAGAGAACTATGAAGCTGACCCACTAGCGGATGGGATAACAAAGGTGTGCAAAATCCTTCTCAAGAAAGTTCAATAGGTTAGATAAATCCATAAAATTAGAAAGAGTCTATCGTATGAGCAATTATATTCCAAACCGCTAAAGTTTATGAACACAAAATGGGCAAAACCAATTGAAGCTTATGGGATAGGGTTTATGAGACTCATGACCTTTCCCTATAACTAGTAGATAAAAAAGGCTAAGAAGTTTGAGAGATTTCTCATATGCCTAGATCAGGGCATCCGAGGCGTATTCTCATCTTGGAACCATTCAATTACGTCACGACATTAAGGACAACTATGATATCGGAGAACGATACTGTAGACAAGTTTCAAGCACTAATGGTATCAGAGTCTACCTTAGAATAAAAGTAGATGATTGACTAATGATCTCGAGCAAACATCAGTAAAAATCACATAGTAGTATTTAGGCAGGTCATGCTCAGAGTAGAGGCAAAGTCATCCGCCCACTCAGTGGAAAAGTAGAAGTATCTATGTTCGTGGACTATAGAGCCATATTACAATATGGGTTAGAAGTTTGTTTCGAATGTGGGGTACTAGAGCCATATGATAAGTCATTGTTTGAGGAGTGTTGTTGGAGGTAGTTGTAACCAACCTTTGAGCTCAATTGGTATTAGAATGCCCTCCCAAGTTGTAACGACCCAGATTCACCGCTAGTAGATATTGTTCTCTTTGGGCTTTCCCTTTCGAGCTTTCCCTCAAGGCTTTAAAATGCGTCTACTAGGGAAGGTTTCTACCCCTTTATAAAAGGTGGTTTGTTCTCCTCCCCAACCAATGTGGGACACAATCCACCCCCTTCGGGGCCTAGCATTCTCGCTGACACTCTTTCCTTCCTCTAATCGAGGTAGGACCGTCCCCAAATCCACCCCCTTTTAGGGCCAACGTCCTTACTAGCACACCGCCTCGTGTCTACCCCCCTTTGGGGAACAGCGAGAAGGCTGGCACATCATCCGATGTCTGGCTCTGATACCATTTGTAACAGCCCAGATCCACCGCTAGCAGATATTGTTCTTTTTGAGCTTTCCCTTTCGGACTTTCCTTCAAGGCTTTAAAACGCGTTTACTAGATAAGGTTTCCACACCCTTATAAATGCTGGTTTGTTCTTCTCCCCAACCAATGTAGGACATCACACAAGTCCTCCACAAAGGAAGGGTGTATGCTACTACGAACAGCGCTCCGACACTTTTTTATTCATGGTCTGACTATTAACATTGTTTATGAGTCAGAGGAGGTTTGAGTTAGAATCCCCAAACAAGTACCCAATCACGCAGAGTTTGTTGGCTAGCAAGAGAGTAAAAGACAATCAAGTATCAATGTCGAATAGGTGGTTAGACGTGATCCTAATACTCTTAAGCACCATAGATTTTTACGTAACTCCAGGCATCGATGGTTGGCCAAAGAGGACAATATCTATTAACAGTGCGTTTGTACCGTAGCAATAACAGAGCATATTTAGTCATTCTATAGATCGATTAATCTCAAGACATGTAACAGAATAATGTAGTCATACGTGGTGATTCCCGACATTCTCATGCATCCCATGCACTGTGAGCTTGCTACGATGGACACAAGACCTCATAGTTTGAAACCCGTTATTCTTAATTTTCCTTTAAATCATTAAGGTCTTATAACATACTTAATTAATAGTTTAACTCCTAATTTTTTTTTAATCAAGGTTAGCTAATTAAGGGATTAAATAGAGTGGCTTAGCCCGCCGAATGGTATTTTTGAAAATAATTTTATAATTTTCTCTTTAAATTTTCTTCGCCAAGTCCTACTTCGCCTCTTCTTCTCATCTCACTCACTCACTCTGCGCCATTTTGAGTCCCTTTCTAACGCCATCTCTCTGTCGCCGCTCCTCCGGCGTTCATCTCTACCTCTCTCTCTCTCCGCCGATCTCCGGTTCGCCGTCGTTCGTCTTTCCCGCCGTGGCTTCTTCTTCGTCCGCCTTTCTCCTGCAAAACCCTAGCATCCCCAGACCCTTAAGGTGAAGAGTGAAAATCTTAATCTAAGACAAAATGAGGATTATGATAAAAGGTGGTGTGTGGAAGAACACGGAAGATGAGATCCTTAAAGCTGCGGTTATGAAATATGGGAAAAACCAGTGGGCTCGAATCTCGTCGCTTCTTGTTCGGAAATCTGCTAAGCAGTGTAAGGCTCGCTGGTATGAGTGGCTTGACCCTTCCATTAAAAAGGTACGTTTCTTTCTTCCATTCACTTGTATTTAGAAAGGTACTTTTCTTAGCTTAGTTGATAATCGGAGTTCTTTATCGAATTGCACAGGCCTCCTGTTTTTGTTCTTTCATTTCCCTAGTTTTGTAATCTGGAAAGTCACCTCAATTTCTTTGTTGTGATAGGTTCTTTGGACTGACCATTTGATTTCCATGATTACTTTAGACTGAGTGGACAAGAGAGGAGGATGAGAAACTACTCCATCTTGCTAAGCTCATGCCAACCCAGTGGAGAACTATTGCACCAATTGTCGGGCGTACTCCATCCCAGTGCCTTGAGCGCTATGAGAAACTTCTTGATGCTGCTTGTGTTAAGGATGAGAATTACGAACCAGGAGATGACCCACGAAAATTGCGCCCTGGAGAAATTGACCCAAACCCAGAATCAAAGCCTGCACGTCCAGATCCTGTTGACATGGATGAAGATGAAAAGGAAATGCTTTCTGAAGCACGAGCAAGATTAGCAAATACTAGGGGAAAGAAGGCAAAAAGGAAAGCCAGAGAGAAACAACTTGAAGAGGCTAGGAGGCTTGCTTCGCTTCAAAAAAGGAGGGAGCTAAAAGCTGCTGGGATTGATACTCGACATCGGAAGAGAAAGAGAAAAGGAATAGATTACAATGCTGAAATTCCTTTCGAGAAAAGGCCTCCTCCAGGATTTTTTGATGTTAGTGGGGAAGATAGACCAGTGGAACAGCCCAAATTTCCAGCAACAATTGAAGAGCTTGAAGGCAAAAGAAGGATTGATGTAGAAGCTCAATTAAGAAAGCAAGATATTGCAAAGAATAAAATTGCTCAGAGACAAGATGCTCCATCAGCTGTACTGCAAGCAAATAAGCTGAATGACCCAGAAATGGTTAGGAAAAGATCTAAACTTATGCTTCCTGCACCTCAAATTTCAGACCATGAATTGGAGGAAATTGCAAAGATGGGATATGCTGGTGATCTTCTTGCTGGTAGTGAAGAGCTTGCCGAAGGAAGTGGTGCTACACGAGCTCTGCTTGCAAATTATGCCCAGACATCACGACAAGGAATGACACCTTTTCGAACTCCGCAGAGGACGCCGGCTGGGAAGGGTGATGCTATAATGATGGAGGCAGAAAACCTTGCTAGGCTGAGAGAATCTCAGACTCCATTATTGGGAGGAGAGAATCCAGAGCTGCATCCTTCAGATTTTTCAGGGGTCACCCCAAGGAAAAAGGAGATTCAAACACCAAATCCGATGCTCACACCCTCAGCAACTCCTGGTGGTGTTGGTCTTACTCCTCGAAGTGGCATGACACCAGCTAGGGATGCTTACTCGTTTGGTATGACTCCAAAAGGAACACCTATTAGAGATGAGTTACATATCAATGAAGATATGGATGCACATGATAGTGCAAAACTTGAGTCTCAAAGACAAGCTGATTTGAGGAGGAATCTTAGCCTAGGATTAGGCAATCTTCCACAGCCTAAGAATGAGTACCAGGTAGTTATGCAACCAATTCCAGAAGACAAAGAAGAACCAGAGGAGACGATTGAAGAGGATATGTCTGACAGGATTGCTAGAGAACGAGCTGAGGAAGAAGCAAGGCAGCAGGCTTTGCTTCGGAAAAGATCTAAAGTGCTACAGAGGGAGCTTCCTCGGCCTCCTACTGCTTCCTTGGAACTTATTAGAAATTCCTTGATCGCTGATGGAGACAAGAGTTCATTTGTACCACCTACCCCTATTGAGCAGGCTGATGAAATGGTAAGAAAGGAACTTCTTGCTTTGCTAGAGCATGATAATGCGAAGTACCCGATCGATGAAAAGGTCAACAAGGAGAAGAAGAAAGGTTCCAAGCGCTCTGGAAATAGACCTACTGCAGCCATCCCCACAATAGATGATTTTGAAGTAACTGAGATGGAAGAGGTAAGCTTTTCCCAACCATTGTTTGATATTCAATTTGCAATTTTCTTACCATTATATCTTGTTTAGAGCAACCAGTGCGTCATTCTTTGATTTTTTTAAAGAGCTTGCTTGATTGAAGGTATTTTCTTTTTTACTCTAAAGTTTAATCTGTTATACGCATATAGAATTGAATTTATGATTTTTTCCTTGTTAAAAAACCTATAGAAGGCCAGTTAAAATGTATTTACTGTTGAACATAGTTCCCATGAAAACAATATTTTATTGATCTCTATTATTTATGTTCATGCCATTAGATTAGCTATTTTGCTTTTACTATTGGATTCTGATTATTGGGCGTAGCCACTAGGGGTAGCTGATGGTTTGAGTTCTACTTTTAGTACTTTTGCCCAAGAATATCAAATAGTGAAATGAAGAGTAGTAGTTTCTATTAGAACAGTTGAGGCTGGTTTGGATTGTAGGGTGTTGTTGATAGCAATTCGTGGAGGAAGTTGAGGAATGTGAGTACAGATTTGTTGTGCCAGTGTTAGTTCTAGTTCGAGTGATGGTGGTACTGAGGTAGTTGCCAGTTGCCGCTTTTGGGTGTCTAAACGGTCGGCCTTGGTGTATTAAAAAGCACCACAAAGATGGGAGAGGCTGAAAGGAGCTAGTGTCAATGATAAGTGATTTGTAAACCCTAGCCCTTAGTCCCTCGCCAGCCGTCACCTCCCAAACGACTTGCTGCCGTTCGACCACCATCGCTCCGACCAAGTATAGTACGAGACACAATGTTGGGATGTTAATGCAAACAAATAACTGGCCCCACCACCCTTCATTTCCTATCCACCTCCACACCTGCCCCAAAACTATGCTACAGTCTCCTCCGCGTTGCTGCCGCCTCCTCTGCTGAACACAACTTTGACTCCAAAGTTGTTCCTCGCGGATCTCAGAGCTTGTCTCGCTGCCGCTTTCAGAACGTCGCAATCGAAACCCTTCACTAACCTTCTTCTACCATCGAAAACTTTTGCGGGCTGGAGCTCCTAGTATGGTCTTGGGAAATAAATCAACCATAGGTAATCCTTCCATGATACTCCCTCGCGATTGGCAAGCCCTTCTGACCGCTTCCTCCAATAGCTTCTTCTGATGAACAGGCCACTGGCGAGCCCTTTATGTGTACATATTGAAACATAATGAACCTTCGGTCAGCTTTATATGTGTAACTCTTGGTGCACCTGCCTTCTGCCTCCACATGCAAGACCTTTGTTGACTCATCAAGGATAGAAAGCAACCCTTACCCATGGAAAATGACCACTGAACAGCAGTGTCCACAATATTTTGGATTGATTCTGAGAGCCCACAACCCCATTGAATCCAAATTGCAACATCTACAAAATGATGCCTCCAGTTCTACGAGATTGAGCTAATTCGAACACCAACCAGCAAGGGTTTTGAATCCTTTTGGACAGAAATCTGTGGCCTCATGGCACCACACTAAACACTTCAGAGATGCAAAACCATCATTGACAGAAAGACCTACGCAATTGAGTTAGACGACAGATATAAGGGAGCAAGAATCAAGCTATTGGTGATAAAGCTTTTTTCGTATTACCGAAATGGGACTCTTTCCAATGGTTGAAAACATTATATAAGGTACTACTATTGGCTCCATTGAGCCAAAAATTCTTGAAAGAGAAACGTTTTTCAAAACAGACCATTTGGATAGAAAAACTCACAAATAAGAAGTGTTCTATGGCTGAAATCTCATTGCTTAATGGAAATGGTGGTCTTAATAAGCTTTTTGTCCCAGTGGGCGAAGAACGAAAAAGTAGGATAGCTTTTTTCAATCTCATTGAAAACTACCCCTCGTCGTCCACTAAAACCAAACCATCAACCAAACTCAAGACATAATAGAAGGCAAGACCACAACCATTTTCATTGACTTACACAACCCTTGCTTATTACTAGAAAGTTGCCACAAATGTCACAAATGTAAAAACATATCTTTCAACTTTTTAAAAAAGGGCAAGACGACCATATGTCCTGGAAAATTTTCACGATGATTGGTTTATGATAAATTGGGGCATACAATTTATGCTGATTTCTGCCAACTAAACCCTTCCAGAGCAGACTAAACCCTTCCAACTAAACCCTTCCAGAGCAGACAAGGTTTGCTACTAGTGGTCTTGAAATTTCTTCTTATATAAAAGGATCCTGTAGCTTAAGATGGATTGTACATTTTTACTCCCGTCTACACTGCAGAATGAAGGTTTGCTATGCCAATCTGGGCATTTACTTAACTTCCTTGGTTACGGTGGGTCGCGTCTTACACTGGTTTCATGAGAACCTTCATGTGTGGCGCCTTAAAAGATTTTCTGATTTTTGCACGTCCTCTCTAAATTTTGAGAAGTTGACTCCTTGATTCTGTACATGTCGTTTACATGGTTATGGAAAAAGTTAGTCTTATTTATTTGTATCTTTCTTTTTCTCCCTAAAATAATTGTTTCTTTGTTTTCTTTTTCTTTTTGGTTTCATGAGGAGGGAATCACAAGTTTTGATCGACTTTTTCTATGAAAACCTTGTGGTTGCATTTCATTGGTTCTTAATTTTCTACTGTATTGATTTCATTCTACCCATCTGGTGTTTGTTTTTTCATCTCTTTGTTTGTACACGAAAATTTATTAATTAGGTTCTTTGAAACAGGCTGATTATTTGATAAATGAAGAGGCCCGGTATTTGTGTGTTGCAATGGGGCATGAAAAAGAATCCTTAGATGAGTTTGTGGAAGCGCACAAAACCTGCTTGAATGACCTTATGTACTTCCCCACTAGAAATGCTTATGGACTTTCCAGTGTTGCTGGAAACCACGAGAAACTAGCCGCCTTGCAGGATGAGTTTGAGTATGTTAAAATGAAAATGGATGACGATACTGAGAAGGCTGTCCGGTTGGAGAAGAAGGTTAAAGTTCTCACACATGGCTATGAGGTACATATTGTTGTTGGAATTATCTCGCTTATGACATCAAACTTCATTTTCTGTTTTGTTTCGTTTAATTTAATACTTTATCTTGTTCACTATTTATTATTAATTTTATGTCCTTGCTAGAAAGTATATGCTTTCTTAAGATTAATATCAGTGTCTAGATATTACCTGAAGATTTTTTTAAATGGTAAATGGAATCTCATCGGTGATCTTCATTTAAAAATTAAATTTTAGTCCAGCAAGAAGCATTCCTTCTCAAAGTTCATTGAAGGTTATTGGGGTTGGATTTCAGTGAAAATTAGAATATTGGAATCCCTTGCTCTTCAAGGAATTGGCAGTCTTGGGGGTTTGGTAAGTATCTCCTCCCAAACTATCCATGCCCTTCTCACAAGAAGTCTCAAGTGAGCTTCTCGATGCTTTGTTATCCAACAAAGGGCTCTAAAAAGAGAAAAATAATAGATAGGGACACAACTCAACACTGAATAGATTATAGGGTTTGTCGGCCACCTCTGGAAAAAAGCTTTTCAACTAAGAAGCCAATCTCTTTCTTACCTTATCCACCAATAGGCTCCAAAAGAGACAACTCTACGGTTACTTACAAGAGAAATGACTCTCAAGGTCACAGTTCATCTCTAAAATTTAACACTTGCTTGCTAGGATATGTGTCAGCAATAAGAGTGACTATTTTCTTGATCAGAATAAAATTGGGTTAAGGGCATTTTCTCTGAACCAACCTCGAAGCCCTCGACCACTTCTCCTTCGACACACTTGGAGATGGTTCTACTTGGAACTTCCACAACAAACAAGAAGAGAAAAGGGGTTGATGGGTCATCCTATTTAAGACCTCTTGAGACTTTGATCTTGCCCCTCGATCTTCCATTAATGAGACAAGAATAACTGATCTTCCATTGATGAGAAAAGAATAACTGACTGTTCTTACACACCTTCAAATCCTCGACCACTTCTCCTTCGACACACTTGGAGATGGTTCTACTTGGAACTTCCACAACAAACAAGAAGAGAAAAGGGGTTGATGGGTCATCTTATTTAAGAGCTCTTGAGGCTTTGATCTTGCCCCTCGATCTTCCATTAATGAGAAAAGAACAACTGGTCTTCCATTGATGAGAAAAGAATAACTAACTGTTCTTACACACCTTCAAATCCACATCCTCTATTTATATCCAAACCCTTTCTTTTCCAAGACTTTATCAAGGAAGGTCTCATCCACGTGGTCATATACCTTTTCAAAGTCAATCTTGTAAATCATACCTTTCTTACGGATATTATAATACTCTATGGATTTCATAGGCGATTAGGGCATGGTCAAGGATTTGTCTTCCCGCTATAAAAGCCTATTGTTTCTTGTTTAAGAGAACGGGTTTGGAGTGAGACATGTAATTTGGTGTTGGGAAGGCTTTATAGGAAAGACTTGATGTCTGATACTTTGGAATTTCTCAATTTCTTCATGAAACGTTTGTTTCTCCCAACAAGAAATAGATGTGAAAAAAAAAAAAAGCTTGGAGTGTGCCTCATTTTAAATGCTCTCCGTTTGGATTCTATATGCATTCTTGAATTTTTTTTTGTTATATTCCTTTTTTTTTTCCCTCAATGAGAGTGGTTTTTAAAAGCAATGTTATTTTTACTCATTATTCCATTTTTCTCAATGTTGTTTGGCTATTTCTTTGGGTGTAACGATTTATTTTCGAGGATTTGAATCACAGGCCATCATGTATAAACTTGTGGGTAAATAGGCGGATAAAATTTTTCATTTTTTAAATGAGGTAACTCAAGAGAATAAATAAAAACATTAAGAAAATAAATTCATTAAGTAATACAACATGCAAATTATATCCACGAGTCATTAAGTAATAAACATTAAGAATATAAATTCATTAAGTAATAAAACATGTGCTCTACTGAGGTCCTAGAGTTAGACAATTGATCTTGTCCATATAGCCCTATTAGGCTTGTTCATTCATTAGAACCTCATCCCTCCAAGTCTAGGGGTGTACTTCACCAATCAGAGTTTCTCGAGATTCTACGTGTACTTAGCCAATTGGTTACTAATCTCATGGGTCTGTCTACCACGATCTTTGTAGAAGAACAAGGGCGCCCTCATCAAATCTTTGGCTTTAGTGTTGATCTAACATGTATGGATCAAGCATTCCTATTAGCAACCTTCCTATGGTTTCCCTAATAGGTCCATACGTGTTTACTACTAAGTGCTAATCGGTTGCTCCCTTAATGGGTTCCTAACCGGCTCCCTGTTACGTGCCATTTTAAGCTTCCTAATAGTGCAAGAGAGGCTCTCCACTAGACACAATTGGAGCTCCCTCAATAGTACCCTTTAATGTGCCATGGGCCCTAAGTGGGTGATGTCACATTCCTTTATACTAGGTATTTCCTCACCAATCGAGGTAAGTTTATGATCAGGGGTTGCGCCTTAACCGTCCACATAAGGCTAAGACTCACTAACATGCATACAAATTTCTAGGTCACATTGCAAGTCATAAGTGGGCATAAGTGCGGGTTCAACCACTATCATGCTTTCTAGAAACATACCCTCTTAGTAACATAAACATCTATTATGGAAAGATATAAGCATGTTACGGAGAGTCCCAACAATTCAAGAATTTCTATAAAAATGCAACAAAAAATGCAATTAGGGTCATAGGAACTCATAAATCATGCATAAGTACTAAGTTGGTCATTCCACTAAGTCTAGTTTATCAAGTTCTTAGCAAATTTTTTGGTTAGGTCCTACATTGAGTTAACAACAAGGAACCGGAGAAACCAGAGTAAAAACTATCCTAAAAATGGTCCAAAACGAGCTAAAGCAACAAGAGGGTCAAAAGAACCAATGAACCAACCACATCATCGTCTTCAACCTTTAGCCAACTGGTTCTCTCGCGTGTTCGTGGTTTAGTCTCTCCAAAACTTGTATTAGTCGACTCGTTCTAGGGGATGTCTGAAGTTGGTTTCTTCTTCAAACTTGTAGTTCTATTATCCATGAAGCTTGTGGTTTAGCTTTTATGAATTTTTATTTATTACACAGAGTTAAAGATCTAGGAACATGTCCTGCTCACCAGCTCTTTTGTCCAAAACTCAATGTGTTCTTCCTCCTAGTTCTGTGGTTTCCAGACCTCCACTCCTCTCGACTTCTTTTGCAAACCTGTGGGGAATGTCCTCCTGAAGCTATTGATATATATTTCAGAACATGACATTCAGTATAGAGGTCTAATTTTTTTTGTCAAATTCACTTTTTCTTGGTTCCAAAACGCAGAAAAGTCGAACCTTATTGGGGAGGACGATCCAAAGCTCTTTAGTCTTCCTTCTCTTCATCAATTTTGTTCTCTAAGTTACTACGAAGCTGCAGGAATTAGTTTTATCAAACGACATTGACTGTGCGGAACAAATTTTGGATTTTACAAAGGAAGTTTGATTTCTTACCCAATTCTTTAAATCCTTTAAATTGTCCAACACAAAGCTCATCAGCCCTGGACGCCTTTAGCTAAAATGTTTCTTGAACTTGCAGAAAGACAATTGGTATAAGCTTTGAGACATAATTTGTACTCTATGAGCCAAATCGATAATCCAAGAATCTCTAGTCATTACCTTTACTGAGCTCAAATGAGTTCTCGACTTCTAGTTTTTTCAAGCTTTGATCCTTTCACGAAAGTTGTCCTAAATCGTCTTTTGAAGTTGCTCAATTTTTCATGAACTTGAAATTGAAACTTTTGGGTAACTTGACATTTTTTGGAGCTCGAAATTCAGCCATGTCAGCTGCCATTTCAGTCAATCAGTCAATTCTTTGCCATCATGGCCTTCAACCGTAGGTCCTAGTTCCAGCTGGGAGGGCGATGTGACCAATTCTACACCGTTCTGTAAAAGTAGCCTTTTCAGATGCTATTTTTCCAGTTATTCGATGTTTGTGGGGCTATTTCTCCAATTTCTGACCTTTCGAGGTTATTTATCCAATTTTCCCATTCACCATTTTCGATTTTTTTAAAAAAATTCACTTCCTCGTTATCTTTCATCTGGCACTTCCTCAAATCCTTTTTATTTTTCTTTTAGTCAGGTTTTTTTTTTCAGGTAGTATTGCATTGGGTTTCCACATGTTCTTTCAGTTCGTGAAATCCTGTGTTCAGAGTGCTCTCAAATCTATTTTTGGGAAGATTATTGGATGGGTGGCAAGCATATCCTCGCTTATATTAAACTATTTGATAAGATGTTGCATGACCTCTAGATCTTGACAAGGGCTTCTCACTCCCTTCCTTCTCTTCGGTTTTTATTTCCCTCTAAAGAGAGCTTGTGGGATATTGGTAACTTGAGGTGGCATAACAAAGTCTCGTTGACCTAAATGACTTTGGTGCTTCCTTAGGGAGACGGATACCTTGTGGTATTTAGTAATTTTAAGTAAGTCCGCACCCTATTGAGTAGACTTACAGGTTGATAGACTAAAGACACCTTAAAAAACTATTGAACAGTGATTTCTTGTGGCTTTTCCTTGGTTCCTGAGATGCTCTGTATGGAATCAGACAAATACTTATTTTTGGGAGGAAACTTGTGTGGGTATCAAGCCTATTACTCTTGATTTCCCCATCGTTATCATATATCTGATTTGAAACTCTGCCTTGTGGCCCCGGTCATGCCTTCTAGCGATGGTCTCACTTCCTTCTTTTCCTTTCATATTCATCATGGTTTTTCTGATAGCAAAATGACGGAAGTGTTAACCCCTCTTTGGGCGTATGGTTATGCCCCTTTGGTCTCTTGATTCTTCAAAGGGGTGTATCTCTATTTGCCATCATATGTCTGACCCCACTCCTGATTGCCAATTGTCGTTCCTTTTCATTGCCATCGAAGGTTAAAATGCCAAAGAAGATTTCGTAGCAGGTCTTGCTTGGGAAGGGTGAAAACCTTGGACTGAGTGCTGAAGCATTCCTCCTTTGAACGTGTTTGAACGTGTTAGTTTGCTCAATAGACACATAAAACTCTCAGCCAGCAGCTCCAAAGGTGGTGAGCAAGCTAGCAACCCAAACTAATGATCGAGATCTTCCTCTTGCCTCCTATAGAGAATGCATCATTGCGAGATCAAAATATAGAAAGAGTGCCTATGCATGCGATCCATGATCATAACTCAGTTGTAAAATTTGCAAACTATTTAACCTTCTTTGGAATTTGCTAAATTAGTTCTAGCTCCATGCTGTTTCCCATAGTGCTCCATCTTGACTACTTGAGAGTAGGTAATATACTTCCAAAACATTTTGGCAAGGAAGAAAAAAAATGACTTGATTGTTTATCTGAAGTGTATTATGTGGATGTGAAATGAATTTATTGAACTCCTATTCTATATTGTAAATTTCTCTGTTGTGTGTTTCCTGAATATGTGTTGATGTTATTTCATCGGACAGTCATTGTAAAGGAAAAGAAACCCGTGACTGTTTTTTGTTATGTGGTTTAAGAATGGAATCTGCAAAACTTTCAAAGGTGAGTTTGAAGCATCTCAGTGTTCCTGAAAAAAAAAAAGAAAAAAGTCATGGCTACTTCTAGTGTGCTCAAGTTAAAATGGGGTATCAACGTGTCTTTAGTGTCAAGTTGATTTTGTTTTACTTTCCGATTTTTTATAGTTCAGTGTTCTGAGGGTCCTCCCATTGAAGTTCTTTATCACATTTAATGATCACCACTCTTTCAACAAATTCATTTCATTAGTGCCTGCCCTATGTGCTTGTAGGCCGCCAAGAAACAGTGTTGGGCTATTGCGAGAATTCATATAATAATTGATTAATTGTGTTCTTTTTTCTGAAATGTTTCTAAAGAATACAGAGTAGGTTCAACCACCGTATGGAACTTGGAAGTCTAATTTGTTATTTGTTTACATTTCAGACACGGTCAAAACAAAGCCTTTGGCCACAAATTGAGGCAACGTTCAAGCAGATAGACACTGCAGCAACAGAGCTGGAGTGCTTTGTGGCTCTTCAAAAGCAAGAGATGTCAGCTGCTTCGCACAGGATTAGTGGTATCTCAGAGGAGGTTCAGAAACAAAAAGAGCTGGAGAGAACTCTGCAGCTACGTTATGGTAATCTTTTGGCGGACTTGGAAAAGATCCAGAAAATCATGGATGATCGCAAGGCACTGGCACAAAAGGAGGAAGAAATCGCAGCGGAGAGTCGCGCTCTTCAGTTGGCGGAGGCTGAGGCTAATCAATCGGTTGGAGAAAAAGCTGATAATAGTTATGAATCCATGTCTGCATCAGCAACAGTCAATTGTGAAAACTCTATGCCCGTTACCTCAGCCCCCAATGAATTAACGGGCGAGCAACTGAACTTGTCCGTGAGACATGAACATGGCACATCTAATGCCATGGATATCGACGCAGAGAAAGAAAGTGCAGCGGTGAGCTCAGATATTGGCTTAACTGATGACAAACTACCTTCTGCAGTGGAAGAGAATGCATCACTGCCTGACAATGGCTTTGAAGATTCTGATAAAAGTCGAACCATTGATGCTCCTTCTCAAGAACTCTTGGGCCCTCATGCAAATGGCTCTCCAGACTCCATTACCGTGGAAAATAAGATCAGCAATGATTCAGTTGATCGAGAAGCTATTCAAAATGTTGAGTGTAGTACCAATAATGTGGAGGAAGTCGAAGATGTTGAAACTCAGCAGCTTAACACTGAAGCTGAAAACTCAGAGTTTCATTTGACTAATCTTGATTCTTCTGCTGCACCTGCATCTTCTAATGAGGATGGCCCTCGTAACGAAGGGGAAGCAACGGAATAGAACGTCTAGATGATGTAGATGATTCGGGTTGTGTCGGCTTGTTTTTCTGGTAGGATAAGAGAGAGGAAGAGTTGTTGATTTCATGAAATAGTGTTATAAATTCAATGTGTAAGAAGAGAAGAGAAGAGAAGCTGGGATTGTGACCGCCATAGGGGTTGAGATCTAAATTCCCATTGGAAAGCTGCTTGTTGACAGTGTATTCTTTGAAGGCAGAGATGAACTTTAAGATGATGCACAAGATTTGTATTCCTTTGTTTTTATAGGATTTTCTTTTAAGAAATATCTTATGAAAGCTTCATATGCAAGAGGAGTTTTGATGACATTTCACTGATTCATTTCTGCCCCTCATTTTATCAGGTCAACACATATCAGCGAGTTCAACGAACATGGGATGGAGAATCAAACCATCAATTGTTAGGATGATAGTTGATGTTTTATTACATTGAGCTAGGTTCGAAGTGTTGGTTTACTTCAAAAATATTCTTATGATCAAATACTCCTTACTCCATTGTCATCATTAATTTTTGTTCGAGCAATCCAAAATGTGGTCGATTGTAAAGGTTAGAACCCAATTAAAAATATTTCAAATGAGTTTGAAAGTCAATAAAATGATTTGTTACTCAATGATTCTTATAAAAAAGACTCCGAGCTCTTATTAATTTGTCCAAATTTGTTCGAAACATTCAAGAAGTAACCCCTATTGAAGTATTAAAAATACTTGTCATGCACATATCATAACGAGTGGACTGTGTGTAGGAAAATTAAGTAAACATCCAAGTTGCCCATTAGAATAGCCGTCGTAGGAGAATAGATTGTTATGATAAGTCTCATTCATGAAATTGTATGTGTTTGCATTTAACCTCGATAGGAAGGTCGCTTACCGAGTATTTCTTAAAATACTCAAGTCATGTGTTACTCTATTTTTTCAAGTAAAGGCAAAACTCCCTTGTACGACTGATGGTGGCATCGTAACTAGGAGATTGTGGAACATGCTTAGGATAGTTTCGCATTTTAAATTCGTAGACTATAGATTAGTATAGGTTCATTGCATTTCCATTTAGTAGCATACAGTTAGTAGAGGTCATTTAACTTTATGTTATTTTCTGTTATTTCAATATGCATGGTTTTGTTTCAAAAGCCTTAGAAGCGACGTGTAAGGATAAGTTCAAATTTTATTATAAAATTTTAAATGAGGTATTCCGCATTACATGTTCATGATATGTATACAGGAGATCATAAATAGGAAATTTAGGGTTATTACATTAAATCTTGCTTATTTCACTTCTGAGGTGGATTAAAAGAAATCTTGTTTAGGTCTGGATTTGGGATTGGGTAGCACAGCTAGAACAACCAACCTTCGTTTCCTTTCAATTTCTTTATGTAAGCTCTTGAACGAACGTGAAGCTTGGATATGAAAAATTCAAAAAGAGGTTGATAGAGAGTAGAATCAGAGAAAGAAGAACCATCAGCAATAAGGTGTTGAGAAACAACCATAAGTTGTGGGCTATAGAGACTCATGGTTGAGACGTTAGAATTAGAACGATGACTCTGTTATGAGAAAATGGCAAGAGACAGATTGTAACGACCCTAAATTTCCACATATCTAGAGTCGCCACTAACGTCTCAAGCTCATCTTTAATGCAGAATAAAAATCTAAGAATGCTCATCTTTATTAGCGGATAAATTTTAAACTTCAGAATACATTTAAACATTGGAAAACACTGCCGGACTTACGTGTTTTGAACATCGTGCTGGAGTTCAAAAAGATAAAATAAAACGATTAAAAATTAATTAATATAAATGAATGAAATGCAACGCCCTATCCTAACCAAGACTAGGAATTAAATATGCAACTATCCTATGCACGCGCCACAATCTCTGATCACGATGCCACCGTCAACCGTACATGGGGCCTTGCCTTTACCTGAAAAACAATATGGTACACGACCTGAGTATTTCGAAATACTCAGTAAGTGACCCCACTATAGGGGCCATGCTAATGCAAACACATGCAATCATGAATAGGGACCTATCTCTAATCACCTTAGGGGTGGCCTCCAATCTCGGACAAATTGGATGTGTAGTACTTCCCTACACACGACTCACACGCGCGAGTGTGAGTCCCTAGGGCGCTCGCACACCCCCTGGACCCTCTGGTCAAGCTAATCTGTAGCGACGTCCGGAGGTCAGCGGAACCCCATAGTGTCATGCGCCTCATGAACACCCTCATCTGTGTGCTTTCGCACCTGTGCGCATTCGCGCTCATCATAAGGTGCGCGTCCGCACTCATCATCTCTAGGAGAAGTAGCCCTATGCTTATGAACATACAAAATGCATGAGGTCTCTCTAAATCCATCGTAATGTCTCTTCTGACACAACCCTCTAGTCTCATCTCTTTGTTACTCTAGGTAACGCATACTCGTGGATATTTATATTAATATCATTTTCATGCTCTTAGGGTTGTGTCCTACGTCGATCTAATGACATGATGCAATATGGCACTCATCATCATCTAGCATGCTCAATATGGAAAACGTCATCATATTAAGGTAAAAATCATGCAATCATCATGCTCATCATAATGCCACAACGTGCGTTAAACATATCAAGCGTCACTGAACAAAATATGTATATACTGGCACATATCATCAAGCATCATACAATTTATTTAGCCTATCCTATAGTAAGGCCACTTACTTGGTTGGCCTTGGCCGAAGTACTCCCTAAATAGTTAAACGTAAGCTCTTGTTTCGTGAGAGCTGCTTCCTACGTCCCCGGGGTTTGTTTCCTATCACACCGTCCACCACTTTCCGTTAGTATTTCACAATTAATTTACCTATAATTTAATAAATGTGAAATACGGCTCTGAAACGGCCTCGAATACCTTAATCGGGGCCGAAAATAGATTCGGGAGGGTCGGAATAGTGGAAACTGGGCTGAAAACAGGTGAGCCGAGCCGAACAGCCGCTGGAGCCGCGCAGAGGAGCCGCCGGAGCGTCACTGGAGGGAGCCCAAGCCGTTTGCGCCGAGCCGAGCCGAGGGACTGCCTGCGCCGCTGTGTGACACGTGGCATCAGCAGAGAGAGCCACATCGGGCGGTAGTGTTGGGTCGAAGCACGGGTCGCAGTCCGGTTCGGGTCGTGGTTCGGGTCGCGGGATGTGGAAGGCTACTGGGCCAAGACTAATCGTTGGGCCTCGACTTACTGGGCTGGGCCGCAAGTGTTTGGTTTGCAGGCCGGCTCAATTGGACCGTGGGTCTAGTCTGGGTTGGTTCAACTGAACTGTAGCTTCTGGGTCGGTTTAAGGTTTGGGCTGCTGTAGTTGGGCTGGGCCGAAGGCAGAGGCCAAGGGAGGAACGGGCTGGCTCTCTCGAGTTTTGGGTTCGGGTTGACCCGGATCCGTGGATCTCGTCTTCCTTACCCGACTTCGGCCGATTTTTTGGCGAGCTTTCTCTCTCCTTCCCACGACGTTTCCGTTGCCGATTTCAGTCCTCTTCCTTCCCTTTTCCTCTTTATTCGCCGTCCTTCTTTCTTTTCTTGGAGTTTTGCGGCCTAAAAGCTCCTAAAAGCCACAGATCTAAGAATCGATTAAGAAAACCTAATTTTCCGACTTCAGTTACCAACGACGACGCTTACGAAATAACACGAAATGCACTCTGAGTTATTGTGCTTTCATTAGGGATCCTTCTCATGGTGGTAACAGGTCGTTTGGTGTCGATTTGAGGGTGGTTTGAGGGCTCATCGGAGAAACTGGACACTCGCCGACGTTTATCCGAAATCTCTCTCTCTCTCTCGAAATTTTCTATCTTTTCTCCCTTTGCAGGTGTTCTGAAGATGCTGGATTTCGTGGGCTGAGGGCTGGGTGTGTTGTGGCCGTCGTTTCGCGTGGGTTCCGCGAAACTCGACGGTCGCCGGAAAACTTGCGGGTTTTTCGGCGACTTGAGTTTTTAATTTTTTTTATTATATGTATATATATATATATTTTTTTTTCTTTCTTTCCCAGGTCGTTACACAGATAGAGGGTTTGATGTGGCTGTGAAGAAGAAAGTGTGGATGTGGTGGCAGTTAGAGGAAGAGAGGAAGAAGAGGGCAGAAACTGAAAATGTACACTCTGGGGTGCATTTTAGACAAAAAAGCAGAAAGTCGACTGGCTTGTCGAGATTCTGCATATTTCCAATGAAAACACTGATTAGGATCCTGAGATTAGGGTTTCTGTGAAGAATGAAGGATCGATTGGGAAGAAAACGAAAGAGGCTATGTTAGCTAAGGGGAAACCGATTGTGTTGGAAAAGGTGAGGTTGTATGCACAAAGTATGGGGAAGGGTGGGCCTCTGAAAGATGATTTGAAGGCCTAAAGGGTGGAGCCGAAGAGTAATCAATCGGCTCCGCCTGCATCAGCCATGGAAATTGCCCTTGCTAAAAGAACTAGATAAGCTATAACAATCCAAGCTCACCGCTAGCAGATATTATTTATTTTTGATCTATTACGTTTTACTGTCAGTCTCACGGTTTTAAAATGCATCTACTAGGAGAGGTTTCTACACCCTTATAAGAACATTTTGTTTCCCTCTCCAACCGATGGCAGATCTCACAATCCACTCCCTTGAAAGCCAGCGTCCTCGCCGATACATTGCCCAGTATTCTAACTCTGATACCATTTGTAACAGCCTTCCCGACCTAACAAAGTTTCCCAACTTCAAACTTAGTTCCTCATTTAAAAAGTGAGGTCCACGTTCACCACTTTATCCATCTTTTGTTTCCCTTATTTGTCAAAAGTTAACTACATAAGAAAAGACTCTAAGGAACATGGGAACACATTACATTTGCTCAATTTAGCACCACATAAAACTCTCATTTATTCCCTTTTCTTCCTTTTATGTCTTTTCATTACTTTACCCTTTAACCTTTCCCAAATTCTTTCCAACTTGACGCTTTAAATCATGGACTATGACGTGGACAGCACGACAAATACAAAAAACAATTACGAATCATGTCTTGTTTCAAAGTTTATTACAATACAGTGACCAGAGAACATGATACAAATTTGATACAAATTTAAAGAACCGCAACCCCTAAACATAAGATTGACATCGTGGAAAGATCCCTCCTCTATGACTGCGCAACTCACAAATGCTCCCTCATCTCGACCAACCGTTAGCGATCACCTTAAAGTGAAAAGTAGAACCTAGTGAGCAACATATTGATAGTCTCTCATCACATCTTTATCCTATTAAGTTATCATGAGTTTTTGTCTCGGTTTTAGGAAGTTATGGCCTAGATTCTACAACTATTTGAATTTTTGGTGGGACGTTAAAGTAATAGGC